GGGGGGGGGAGTAATTCCTGTCTCAATGGTTGCTGTAGGAAATCTTGAGAGAACTAAACCTTTTTCTCAGGCTCTGCAGTGAAAAAAATGTAAGTGGGTTCATGAAGTGTTGGACAAGGTCATAGGCATCATGTACACATTAAAATCAATAGCCTGTATGTGATCCCCCAGGGCTGGAGAGGGGTGTGTGGAGAGTTGTGCCGAAGGGTCTGTCTTTGCTCAGCACAGAGAAAGAAACCAGATTTTGCCCCTGGCCTTAGGATGGATGTCCTCAGCTAAATGGACTGTTGGTCTGTTCTAGCCCTGCCATCCCTGTAGCTCTAGGAGCTACCAGCTTTGTCGTTGGTGCCCAGCTCTTTCCTCAGAGGCAGCTTTATTCTTGGCTGCAACCACTGCGTGTAGAGTCTGTTCCTGGCACTCCTCTGACGAGCCTGAGTTGGCTCGGTAGTGATTGGAGACGAAAAAAGCAAATACTTGAGCCTCAAAGTGAACTATTTAAACAACTGAAATAAGCCTCTTCATGTAATCTTCCCTTTGAAGGTGCTTTTTGGAGCAGGAGCAACATGAGGATGCTCCACTTCTAAAGTTCTAAAACTGAGATGTTTAGGCTATTGGAGGACTTACATTCCTCCTTGGAGTCTAGCTCTTGCTGCAGTTTAAACTGTGACTTTAGGTTTTCTTCAGGAACTTCAATGCATTCTGCATTTTGGTTTCGGTCACTTTATTGCTGAGTTTTCTTCTGCCTGTCAGTTAGTAGGCAGACAGGTCTTCTAAGCGGTGAGGTTGGGTTTTGGATTTCTTATTGTATGAATGGCCCCCACGTAGGTTACTCTACACCCAGGTTTTAACAGAAACTCTGTGTCAGGTAGGTGCAGATGGAATTTAGCTTTATGTTTATGCTACTGCTGATCATGCCTCTCACTTTTAGTCATGAAAATCATTTGTAGTCATTTGGGAACTGATCTTTTTTGGTGTTTTGTGTTTGTTTGTTTTTTTTTTTTGTCTGCCTCTTCTTTCCTCCCAAAGGCCCTTGGTACAGATGGCCTTAATGTACCTACCAGGACATATTCTGCTGGCGGAAGAAGGGTTGATGTGGCCTGGTGTAGGGTGCAGTTGTATAGTCTGTCCTGGAAAATAGCACGTTATTTTGTACACAAAGTTTTAAACAAAAAAACTTGGCCTGGGCACTTACTGTAAGAGATGCAAGCTGTATTGACTGAGGTGCAAGTCTTAAGCTTGATAGAAAAGTGAGTGAAGTATGTATGCCTGAGACATACTGAAGCCAGTAGCAACTTCTGCAAACTATGCTGGAAGAGGAGGTCTTGGTTTGCTGAATTCAGCCATGCTGTGCAAGAAAGGGAATAGTTGGTGTAGAGGCATCTGTGCCTTAAAGATCAGAAAGCATGAGAATGTAAGACTGCAAAGCTTAGCTCCCCGTGCCACTAAGGGAAGTACAGGCAACTATATATTAGTTTTTAGGCCTGTTTAATTCAGAATTATTAAAGAAAGAAAGTGAGGGGGCAGTAGCTCTGCATTCAAGATTAGAATATAAAGGTAATATTAATATCCTTCAAACAAATGACGATTAAAGTGAGATTCAGCTTAGTAGCGATACAGCAGTAAGGCAGTTGCACTGAGTGAACAGAAATAAAACTGCTGTGACTGAAATCGGTATGGAATCAATTGTGTCGAAGGGACTGGCTGGTCTCCATCCTGGAATGTGGAAGAAGTTACCATGTAATGCTGAATGTCTGATAACAGGGATTTTTATTCAATCTGTTAAATCAGGGCTAGTAATGAAAAACAGAGAACCAGCTGAGCATACAATAACATGCACTGAGCAAGAACTGAATTAACTGACCCATTAAACACTGGATAATGTTTTTTCGTGTGGTTTGCTCCATGGCAGGTAGTGTAAGACTAGCCTTTTTCATAAACCAGCTCTCTAGAGAGAAAAGTTTCATTGTCTAATCTCTTCTGTAAAGGATTTACTATGGAGTCATATGGGAAATTAATTACTGTGTCAAAGGGATGGAGGCTTATGCAAGTATTGCAAGATGTTTGGTGATGAGGGTGTTTGTACTGCAGTGAAAGTGGAGACAGGAGTCGTGAGACATTAATGCTCATCCAGGACCTTGGTGTAAAAAGTAAGAGTATGCAGCTCACAGATATTTGTGATGAAACCAGTCTGGGAGACATGAGCAGTAACCTAAAGGAGGAGGAGGGTGATAAAGGTATTACACAAGATGAGCTCTAAAACTTTGTACTGAAGTTTTTATAACAGTGGACTCGGAGGGCAAGCATGTGCCTCCACAAAGGAAAGGGCAGAATTTCTGTTGTGAACAGGGGTTCATCAGTATGGAAAGAAAAACTGGCAGGTGACTGGGTTACTGTAGGGGCATGACTGGAAGACAAGTCTGATCTTAGCTTTAAGAGATGCTTCTAGCACAGTTGGGAATTGTTGATGCTATTATATGCAGTGTTTTGCAATGCTTTGCACAATGAAAAAGTGGAACAAAGAAATGTGGGGTTTTTCTTTTTTTTTAAAAAAAAAGGCATCACCAAGGAGGTGCTTCAGGCAGGCCTAAGAGATGATCAAGGGAGACGTGCTAAGGTGATGTGACATGGCTTAATAATTTTAAGCAATGGGAAGGCATCCAGAGAATAAGCTCTGGGGTTGAGGAGGAGTAATTATTGAATCTGAAAGATGATTTGGGCTTTCAAACCTCTGAGCAACTCTGCATCAGGTGCAGTGAGGATAAACTTGGCTGGGCTGAAGGTAGAGGTTGATGAACAGAGGAAAGAAACTACTTGATGCCGTTACCTATTGTTTCAAGGTGTGTGAGGATCTAGGAGGTTCCTTCCAGTCTTGTGGTTTCTCTGCTATATGGCACAATATTTGAATTAAAGTATTTTTTTTCTTTCATCTGTCTGGCCTGCAGAAGACAGCATTTTTAGAAATTGCTGTCTCTGTCAAGGCTTCCATGTGACCATGTAAAAGAAACAAGATAAAATGCCTGAAGTCTAATGCTGCCAATACTAAAGCCTTTGGGCTTCCAGATGATGGCTTTCTAATTTAAGTATTGCATCTGGTACAGGTGAATCCTATCTAAACATTTGTCATGACAGTGAAAGATGAAATTTATCATATAACTGATGGCTTATGTCATGGCTCAATTGACATCTTACTTTACCCAAACAGAATCAAGTTCAAAGCAGTGATTTTATTTTTTGAAGTTGTGATAAAGCTGTAAATAATTGCGTCAAGTCAGTTCAGCCAAACTTCCATTCTTTTACTTGGTTGGGATTTGTCTGAGACTTGTGCTGAGTGTTGCTACGTTTTGGGAATGAGGAGATCCCTGGTATGCTAAGTGTAGTTCTCCCACCAGCAAGCTGCGAGGGCCTGCTGCCTTTGTGGTTCTGCTATTCTGTTCTCATTTGCTGCCTCCTTTCTCCTGCTTTGTCTTTGCAGTATCTCCTTCTGTTCACCGGTAGGTTGCAGCTATCCCTTGCTGCTGCATCCCATGTAACTTGTCTCCATCTGTCTTGCATAGGCTCTTGATAGCACCAGATGACCTGGCTCCATGCTCTTCAGTTTAGCTTAACCAAAATTAGGTGGAACATGCTGCATACTCCAGCATAGCACATTAGGGAATAAAAAACAAGTGCTCAGACAGACCTTGGTATTTTATTCTGCCTTCCCTCATCAGCAAAGTTTTTCATTACCTCCCTTCCAGCAGACCTCAATCTAAAGACCCAGCACTGCTTCACCAGAGAAAAGACATTTTGCAGTGCCAGGCTGACTAGCAGCATCCTGGGCAATGAGGTTTCTGCATCTACAGCCGCCTTCTGGCAGGTTGGTATTGAGTGTACCTGGTACAACCTAGAGCTCACAGCAGATGCTCTGGAAATGATGCGTATTGTTTGCCACCTTCTCTGTTAAGGCTGTGGAAGGTCTTTAGTTGAGGACAGTGGGTTTTGTCTGTGCATTGGAAGCAGACTGCTGTCTGCCTGCGTTTCTCTAATCGCACTTGGTTAGGGATGCTGTAAGGTCTAAATTTTCACTTTCTTAGTTAGTCCAGTTGGTCCTAACGAGTCAGAAATGAGGTACAGACAGAGTCTCCTGGCTTGAGCACTGGGAGGTGAGAAGTCCCAATTTCTCTACGCTGCTGTTCTGCAGCTTAGACCTCGGCCTGTCTGTGTGGACCCAGCTTTAAGACAGGGCTGAGACTTCTGGCAGGTGGTTGGGTTGTATTCAGATTCTGAGAGGCTGATGATATGTGTTGGTAGCTTTTTCTTGTTTCTGCTTGTTAAAGAGGACCTCAGTATGGAAAACTCCCCTGTGCTAATAACCAAAGACCCTAAATGCAATTGTTCTATTGCTACAGCTGTGAAAGAGAAGCATTGATCTCTCTTGTCCAAAGCTTGAGCCGAGATCTGTTCCCAACGCTAAAAAACACTTTCTCTTTTCTCCATAGGTTCAGTACTGTGGCCTGCTGTTTCGCCATGAGGGCTGGCCCCTGTGTATTCACGAGAAGATTGTAGTCCAGCTGGCTTCCATTGACTGGCGAATCTTGAAGCCTGGTGACTTCTACCTGCAGGTGGTCCCATATCTGAAGAAGTCTCCACGAATTGTACTGAAATGTTTGGCAAAAGACAAGCATAATGTAGAGGAAGTCGTGATTCCAGAAGTTTCCTATACCTCTATTTTTACTCTGGAATGGTTGAGTACTTTCAATGGAGAGCGGATGGGTATAGCACTGGAAAATTGTTTACTAACCACTGATGATAAGATATTTCGTGTCCCCTGGGATAAAGTGGTTAATCCTGAATTTATAAATAAGCCAAAAATAATTGAACACAATATCATCTCTCCAGAAATAACAGAGGAACGTTCAGTTTTGTGCCTCCCCATGGACCATGCTGAATGCAGTTCACCAAACCTAGGATCTCAGTATCTACAGGAACAAAGTCCAAATGGAGACAACCTGGTCATTAGCAGCGAAGCTCTTGTCAATGGTGTCTGTACAAGTCCTGTACCTCAAGAAAACTTGAAAAGTGACCTTGAAGGGGAGTACATTGAGCTGACAGAAGTTTCACTGCCCAGGTTTGGGCCGCAAACAGGCTCTTTAACCCAATCACTAGCTTTAAATTATCTAACTCAGCCCAGAACACGAGTGAATGCGTCTAAAGGCAAGCACAGGTTTATTGTCATTCAGGACAGTACCTACTCCAAGAACTTAATTCAGTCAGCACTTATGCAGAAGGAGCACTGTCAAATGGACACTCTGAGGACTTCTACAGAAGTTCTCAATAATGTAATCCCATTGGAAAGCAACAAAATGATGGCACATGGAGAACTGTCTCCAGAAGGCCAGCTGTTATCAAGTGGTCCTGGAAACATGGGGAATAGCTTTCCTGTAGCTCAGTCTCCTGCCTGCAGTGCAGAAGATTCATCTGCAGAGCTGGAGACCCGCAGCGAACACTCAATCGATTGGCGATATGCACTGTGCAGCTACAGCGATGCGTGTGCTGGAGATGGTGTCAGCTGCAAAGCACAAATGCCTGGTGCTCCTGGAAACCTGGAAGGAGAAAGTGATGGTCCTAGCAGAAATCCTGGTGCTGAACCATCAAAGCAGAGCCCAGAAACAATTGTAGATGCTGCTGCTGCTTCTGTGAAAGAGAAGGTGATAATGAGAGGACATGGAGAACCACTGACCGAGGATCAAAATGAGGTGACACAGATGGATCCTTCTCCTGTGTCTGTCCTGGGACCTTTGGGACCTCATAGCACACTGAAGGAAGGTTCTGATGTTTCTTGCCAGAGTGTAGGTGAAAGTGTTGTGCCAGTCCAGGCTGCTACATTGCTTATCGTGCCTGAGAGTTCGGATGTTGGTGTGGGGAGAGGCTCTCGTTCAGAGAACATAGCAGATGTAGGAGCAGTCAGCGCTTGCTGTAGCGATCAGGAAACAAGTCTTAGTTCTCCATCAAATCCCCCAGAACAGAACCAAGGAGAAGTAGATGAATTCAAGCTAGGAAGAAGGGACAGCCCAGAGGAAGTCAAACAGATTGAACAGATATCGACTATAAATGAGAATCAGACTAATCATAGTCACTGTTCTGTCAAAGCTCCTGCAGATGGACTCTTGTCAGATGGTGAAGAGCAAGAGGTCTCTGCCTGTCAGCATAAGAAAGCTGAAGAAGCCATACTACTCCAAACTGCTCAGTCAGCAGAGGGTGATCAGCTGGCAGAGCAATTAAAGAACAGTGACTCTTTGATGGGCCCTGATGTCCAAGCAGAAGGCTCAAGTCAATTCAGAACCCAGAGGTCTGGAGAGAGGTGTGAGGAACCACAAAGACGGGCAGAAAACCAGGGCTGTGAAAGTGAAGAGAGCTCTGTGCTGAACCCAGTGTGTGTTGCAGTACAGGACTTGCAGGGAGGGGAGGAGAACCAAGGAAGTTTTTCATATGGGGAAAGGTCAAAGACTATAGCCTTAACACTGGAATCCATTGAAGAGGAACTGGAGGTTGGCCCACTGTCCTCAGGACCCACTGAGGGGCATACAGAGCCCACCACTCTGCACTCCCATCAAGAGGCAGCTGCTGGGGTGTCATCTCCTGAAGGTACAGCAATTGGATGTTTGTGTGTTTAGCAGCTGTTTGATAACATGGATCGAAAGCAAAGTCCTTAAGAGGTACTACTGACAAGTACGTTCACGGGGAGGCTTTGGGATAATAGGACAAACTACAGGAAAGTGATTAAGTTGTCCTTTTTGTGGCTTGAAATTAGCTTTCTCTTCACAGATGGGTTTATTGTAGGTATTTTGCTTAGTAGTTCTTTTCAAATTCACATCAGAACAGAGTTCCAGTGTAAGAGACTTTTAATTTCAGGTAATCTGATTGCCAGTGACCTCCTCTCGTTACATTCATCATGTGCAAATTATGGATGTGTGCAATAGGAATGCGTGAGAAGAGAATGTATAACTGTAGAAGTCTTTCATAGTTGAAAATTTGCTTTAGGAAGATAGTTGTGGTAAGAGGAAGCAGCGGTGGATGCCACAGTAAAATACTAGCTGTGTAACATGACCTGAAGATCGACAAATGTTTGTGGTGATAACTGATTTAAGAAGCAAACTGCAGAGTTAAGGGATTCCCCCCTCTTCCCTCACTTACCCTCCGGCACGCTTTCTTCAGCTTGGTATTTTTCAAGTAGAGGCCGTTTAACTGGAGTGAGAGAGCATAGAAATTAAGCATCTAATTTCAACTCGGACAATACGTTCAAGCAGGTATTGCGCAGACTTCTTGATGCCTGGGTTCCTGTGCTGGAGCTGTGCTCCTTTGGGAGGAATTGAGCAGGCAGTCCAGGTGTCTCTGCCTTTTGCACCAGACTGTAGGCAGGCAGTGTGTAACCGCGTGGACACAATGCTGGCTTTGCCTAGCTCTGCTGAGTCTGGAAAGCTGTAGCTAGATATAGAGATTGCATCGAGGAGCGTGTGTGTGGCGGGGGCGGGTGAAACGTGCCGTTCCAGTTCAACAGCTCTCATTCCCTGAGACCCCTGGCTAGGAAAATTACCCAGATTGAAACATTAGAATGAGGACTCTTGAGAGGGTCAGAGGTGCAGACCCGCACTGCTAGAGCATGTCTGAGCATGTGGAGGAACAATTCAAGAGCTGGTGGTCTTGGGATGGGCTGCCAGTGTGATGCTTGTACTGGTCCTGAATTGCGTGGATAAGAGCCTACATCCCCACTGCAGCACTACTCCATCTGACTGCAAACAAACCTACTTTCTCAAGTGTCTGAAAGTCACATTTTACCTGATGCCTTAGCGTGACCTCCTAATGGACCTAAGGTGTCCGCTGATTAAAATGAAATGTCATTAGCACCTGCACCAAAATATTTTAATTCTATAATTAGGCAGGCCCATGGTTGCCAGGCATTTCTGATACTTTTGGAGTGACAAGCATTTCTTTTCTGTGAAATGGAGGGGTCAGCTCACAAGTTTCTGTTTCTGAAGTGTATATGTGTCTAAGCATCTACCACCATGAGCAAAAAAAATTAGAGGTCACCTTCTGGGTATCTGTAGCTCTTGGGGGATGTATGCCAGTAAATAACCACGCCATGGGTATCCATTCCCCTGACCAAGCTGAACCTGTCTTGACTTCGTGTCCTAGACTTTCTTCATGTCTAGACTTTCTAGACCTCAGAAAGCCTAGGCTGTGTCGAGTGCTGGGTGTATGCTTTCCTCATGGCTCCAGTGGCTGCTTAGTCGGTGTTCTCATCTCTTCTGTCTGAAATTAGCCAGATCTAGGTCGTGAATGAGAAGTGTGATGTTTGCGCTGCTCCACAGGATGAGTTTTGTCCACTGTGGGTTTCAGCAATGATGGACCCATCTGGGGTACGTGTGGAGTTTGGTTTCCATGAAGGACAAGTTAAATGTTTCTGGGGATTTGGCTGAAATAAGTGACATATTCATGGCCCAATTCTGATGATGTTAAACTTTAGCATTGCGGTTAAACAAACAAAACCCCCCAAAAGCCTGCCATCTCAGAGTTTGTAAAGCAAAAGAAACAACCTAAATCACCAGAACCCCCACCCCAACCCAATGAACTGTACTTTAAGGCATAGGGCAGCTCAGATATCTGCTAATGCCCAGAGTATTTCTTAAACACTACAGCTGGAACTGTAATAAACTTAATCCATTTGATTACATTTGATTGCTTTGAGATACAAACAAGCCATCCCCTTATCTAGCCCCATTAAACCCTCAGAGGTACAATAATAACATAATTCAGAGATAAAATTACAAAGTGAAGCAAATGTCCTACTCACAGCCCTACTAATGGACTTTTCCAGCCGGTCAGTCTGTAGGTGAGTTAAATTCTCTGTAACTGTCTTTTGGTGGGGTATTTTTTGCTACTATGATTGGAAACTGCAGGTATCTTGCTAAACTATAAATAACAGCAGAGCTTAAGCTTTACTGGGCCAACGCAGATCTGCAGTTCACACCTCAATAGCAGTGGGCAGATGCACGATTTGCTGTCTGTGAGGTGAAGGAGCTTGCTTGTTCCGGCAGAACAATATACACATTTAGAACTGGGGCATCTGAGTTTGCTGTATCTGCAGATGTTTTCCTTGTCCCTTAACTCTCTCCCCTTCCTCCCACTCCCAGTTACAAACTGAGCTTATTTTCTGCTCAAATATGATCTAACTTAGAAAGATTTTGAGTCAAATGTGAGCTGTTTTGAGTTGGTGGCTTAAAATTTACACTGGTTCCATTCACAGAAAATGACAGCTGTTTTTTCCTAATGACTAACTTTGAGTGAAAGTGAATTTTGAAATTTTGCAGCTCTGGAAAGAATTCCTCTATTTTGGGGGTGGAAAATATCTTGATATTCAAGAAACTAGCTGAAAAACCACATAGGGCATATTCAGCAGCACCTGTTAGGGCGTTCCATTCCTGGTCCCTGTTACTACATGATGTTAGCATAGATGATACTGGTGCTGGGGCAGTTTGCAGGAAAAATGCTAATGTCTCTTTGAAATGCACACAAGCAAATCCTTCTCTACCACTTCCTTAACCTCGGGGAAAGGTGGAACCTGCAAACATGGCAAATTCAGATGTCCCAATTCTCAATTTGCTTTTTGATGTAACCCTCCGCATTCTACAATTTCCGCTTTAGTAAGTGCCTCCACCCCAGACTGCAAATAACAAACAGTGTTCTTGGGCCTGTTTGGAGAGAGGTGGGGTCTGCAGATCTGAACTGAGCCCGAGAAGCTTAGGTAAGAGGTTTGTTTGGGCAAGATGTACGTAGTTTGGAGGCTGCACAAGTCCAGTGAGGTTTCCCTGGGGGCTGATAAGCCCCAGCACCAGGACCATGTCTGGTGGGCTGAGCAAAATGCTTCTTTCTTCTAGCTTGCAGGAGATGCTACCTCATTCCTAAAAGATATCCAAGGGATGGCGGCCACGTACATTTATGTCTTTCTCTTACCCTGGTATGGTACCTTCTATATAGCTATGTGTCCTTTCTTGTCTTCTGTATGTGCCACCTTTTGGTCCTCTTCACAGGCTTTCTTCATTCTCCTTCAGAAGATGATTCTATGTTCTGCTAGAAAGTCTGTCAGCCCTTAATGTGAAACATTTGGGGCACAACTTAATGACTCTCTGCTCGTTAAGATACCCCATCTATGGGAGATCAGTGCCCCTCCAAAACGCTGCTTCAGG